AAAAGTTATGAGGATGTTCGGCAAGAAAGCAACAAAAAAGTAAGCGGAAATATATCGTATCGTGAATGCTTCGAGTTTCTCATGCTCATTAGAACCAAACTGACAAGAGGGATATGAGGATCAGCTTTTCGCGCTTGCGCTCTGATACCGGTTCCCTACTCCCTTTAAACACTTTGAACACCAGATCCGAATCGAAATCGGTTCGCCATGTGCCAACTGCATGCAGATTAGACAGGACAAGCCATAAAAAGCAAGGTAGTAGAATGCAGAATCCCAAGTCGTAAAATTCGTCAAGCCAAGGCCATCAAGGTTTTCGTCCCTTGAAGGCCAGTGTATGCCCATTGATTACAGTTCCTACTCTCCCTTCAGGCTTCCGATGAGATTACGGAGGGCATCTACAATGACTTCCTCATCTTTCGGTTCACCGCCGGGGAATGAGCTGTCCGTTGCGTTACCGAGTACACGGGCTCGCGCACTCTTGAGCACCTCCCGGATGTAGTTCTTATCCTCGTAATCCTCCATGAGAACAGCCTCAAAATCGTCAATGGCCTTGTTTGCACGATCATTGAACGAGGATGCGTCCGAAGTATCCATATGACCTGGGCCGGGGCCGGGGCCCATACCCATGTTTGGCTGATGCTGCATGGGAGGCCCCGGGGGTGGCCCCGGAGGTGGTGGGGGCGGAGGATGCGCTGAATGCGTTGAATGCGTTGGATGCGTTGGATGCGTTGGATGCGTTGGATGCGTTGGATGCGCTGGATGCGCTGGATGTGGTGCATTGGACGGAGCCATTGGTGGAGGATTCGGCGGAGGATAAGGTGACTGATGTTGGGGTTGCGGAGGCATTGATTGCGATTGCTGTTGCTGCAGCTGGACCAACTGCGGCGGCGGATCGGATGCATACGGTGAGGTGTAGGTGGAGGGAGTGGTCTGAGCGAAGGCGGGCGGAAGGTTGTTGCGGAGCGGACTGGGTATTGGAAACGGGGTTGAGGCGGCGGGTTGAGAAGGCGGGGGATAGGGACTCGCATGATGAGGTGCCGGAGGGGCAGGAGACGGAGCGGGAGCGGGAGCGTGAGTGTGAGTTGCATAAGGGTTGGATGGCATAGCAGGGAATTGGAAGTGCGGATTGGCCATGCTGGGCTGTCCATTTGGCTGAGTGCCATATGATGGATTCAATGCTGGCATGTACGAGGGAGGAGCGGGGGGCGGTGGCTGCGCCGCTGGCGGAGGAGGTGACGGGCGCCTCTTCTTCTCCTTCTCAACAGAAGCTCCAGGGCGGAGCTGCCAGGACCACCCCTTTCCATCCCGCTCAGCATGCATGAAAAGATGGCTGTTTCCGTTTAGGTTGTGCCGTACACTGGACGTCCAACCTTCGGTTTCGCACTTGAAACGGAAATATGGATATTTCAACTTCAACGCTCGATAAATCTGCTTGAGTGTCATCGGAGTACCAGCCTCGGTGAGAGCATCGAAGATGAGAACGGCGTAGTTGTAAGGCGGCTTGGCCAGATCCTCCGGGGTATATGCCGACTCGGGAGGATAATTCGGAGATGGCGACCGCGAGGGTTTGCGCTTCTTGACCGGGGGCGCTTTGATGAACTCCTCCGGGCGATGCTCCAAAGGAAACTGCCCACCTTCGGTGGAAGGTAGGGGAAAGTCCATCGGAGTGCCATCAGGCTTCTTTCTCTTGGTATACTTGCGTTTCTCGGGCTTCGATCCGGGTGACTCTCCGCCCATCTCCTTGGGCGTAACAGTCGCCGTCGTTGAGGCTGGAGCCTTGCCAGCTTTCGGCCGGCTGCCGGGCGGAGGAGTAACGCCTCCATTGGCCTCGCGCTTCGCTGCCAACTTTTGTTCTCGAGCCAATTCTGCTCTCTCTCGCTTGGACATGATGCCATCCTTAGGAGGACGCCCGGGACCGCGACGTCGGATTGGTTGTAACGCCGGATCGATAGCTCCCTCCACAGAAGGCATTGGTCGCGCCGAGTCGGGCTCTCTGGTTTTTAGTATGAGTTTCGTTGGCGGCCTAGGAGCGTCCTTATTCTCCGCAGATTCGGACGGGCGCCTCTGCATCTCAACTTCGTCTTCAGCGGCAGGGGCTGGTGTTTGAGAGGTTTCCTCTCCTGTACCCAGGGGCTCCTCGACGCGGTCAGCACCAGTCTCACCAATTGGCACATCTGGTAATAGAAAGCGAATGCGAACACCTCCAATCTGGATGTAGTCGCCGCTATGTAATGGTCTGACCTGACCAGGCGATAACCAATCTGCACCAATGAACGCGCCATTTCGTCCCATGACTTCCATCTCAAACAGATTTTTATCAAAATTGTAGGCGATCTTGACATGTTTGCGGGAAATACCACGGTGGCCTGCGGCACTGCCGTCAACGGTGGCGGGAGGGTGAATGGGGATTGTCGGACATGCGTCAGGCGAAGGGAGCAGCGCAAGAGCGTCAACCGGCTTTGCATCGCCATTTTCATCATTTAAGGACTGCATCGCTAGGGCATTGTAGTCGGTGGTGTTGTTATCGGTCGATTGGAGTTGAGCTGGAGTTGCATGTAGCGGAGCGCCCGATTCCGCATGGGAAGAAACCGACGATCGACGGCTGAGACGAGGAGGAAGATGAGACACATCAGGATCAAAGCCCATGATTCCACCACGGTCACTGACAACGCTGCCCATCATACCGCTGCCTTCATGCTTCACACGGACCGGGGTATGCGACATGTTTCCGCCACTGGAGCTCTTTGCCCGCGATGTCCTCATTGCTTGTCGAACTTGTATTTCGCGTTGATGCGCAGCGCGAGCGGCTCGTACATCACGACCAAGGATGAAGGAATAAGTGTTGCAATAGAAATGACCGTCATCAAACTCGAGCTTCGCAAATGCCTGGATCCGGGGCTCGGAGCCGGTGACAGAACCCGAGCCATCGTGCGGTAAACCCGAATATCCAAGTGCGGAGAGATCGGCGCTCTGCGATAGGTACGCGTCTGTAAGCATCTCATTGTGTTGCAATGCATCGAATGGATTCTTCGAGGAAGACGACAGATCGAAGGGTGTGAAAAGATCAGCATGGTCGATGCCGCCTTTTGCGAAGAGCAATGGATCTGTGAGGCCATCGATCGAATCGTTCATCTTGACTGTCGGGTTCGAGTCTTCTTCGGGATTTGTCAAGGACATATCGGGTTGGGGGTCGAACTTTTCCTCCTGCTGGCGATGCGAAGACGGCTGATCAGTCGATGTCGGCGGGATTTGATCCGCGCCTCCGCCGGTCGAGTCGGCAGGCGCAGTGGCCATAGGCTCTGAAGTTGAATCTAAGGTCCATTGAAGATTCGATTTATCGTCGACCTGGTGCGGTTGATCCGTCGCTTGCGGGGCTGGTGGCATTGGGTGGTCCTCAGACGGCGATGGACCGGAGGAGGATTGGCTGCCAAGGAGCTGGGCCAGCAGCGCACTGGCGGCGGATTGACGACGGAGATCGGATTGAGAATCATGCGGCGCAGGAGATAATGAGGATTGATCGTCGGGTTCGGATTTAATTGTAGTTGAGGAAAGAGCGGGTAGGCCATTGGGGGAGGAAGCATCGAGGGGATCGGGGACAGGATCTTGCAGAGCGCGGATTGCGGAGTCGTTGGGCGGGGATGAATGCGGTTGAGGGTCAAGATGCTGTTGCTGGTGCTGCTGCTGTTGTGATCGAGGATAGTCGTACACGGACGACATATCCGGGGCAGCATCCGGAGGACGATGGCCCACCGCTGGCGCTGTCATGGTCTGCGACGACGACATGACCGGCGGCTGGTCTTGAACGGGGGTCGAGTAGGAGAGGATTGGGGGTGGAGGGAGACAAGACGGAAGAGGAGGAGGAGAGAAGTCAAGGGCGGTGAGCCCGTCTCCCGGCCCAGGACGGCCTCTGACTGGTCGGCGAAAAGTAGTGCCGGCGATATTTTTTTTTTCATGGAGTTTTTTCTGCCGCTTCCGGTGACGGGATGGACGGTACCTTTGGGGAAATTTGTATGGGGAAGAGGTATTATTAAGGTATTTCCACGTATTCGATCGGTATGGGCCGTTTATCCTTTATCCAGTCTATTTATTGCTTGGTTCTAGCCTCTGTCCATCAGGCACGTCTGGAGAGGATAGGATAGTTATCTCCTGCAGTGCACGCCAGCTGGCACTGCTTCAGCTTCTGATCCAAGTAAACCCCAGAGTGTTGGCGATGTTCGATTTCCTCCTGATATGCAGAAATGGACGACTCGGAATATACATCCCATTGGACTGGTCTCCGATGGCATGCAGAAGGTGAAACACCAGCATCCAATTAATTGCCTAGGGCGACGGGAGGTTTCAGACGGGTAGACTTTTCTTATTAGCTAGCAAAGACCCGATTCGATATGCAATACTTGACTTGTATATACGTTGTCAAATTTCTTCCCAAGATTCCTCGAAGATCGAGTCTTAGAGGTCATAATGGACTCAATCGAATCAAGGTCATTCCAAACAATAGTCTTTGTTAGTCTCTGATTTTGACCATTGAACTTGAGCTTCGATAGTTTGAATAACTGAAGCCTGCTCGGCCCAGAGTCATCAATTTCGAATACAGAATGTCTACAAGCTTTGGGCGCTTCCATACTTATTTATGACCTCGATCATTGGAATGCCTCTTCTGGATCATGAGTACTAGGTTTACATGAGACCTTCACCATATGTAGAGCTCCCTCACTGGTACAATACACGAGTTTTCAATTCGCAACCACAGAACCCTTTAATCAATAGTTCAGTATACAACAGAGGCTCAAGAGTAGCAAATCAAAGAACATACTAGGTACCTTAGGTATCAGCCTACCAAATCAATACCCGCCTAGCATCTCCAACCCGTCCAGCCTGATGCCTGCACCCCAGATCTCCCCCTCCCGGGGAAGAAACAGTAGCCTACCGCCTACCCGCCCATACAGCAGAACCTGGAAACTAAACTATTTCCCCTCACCTCTCATCCATATCAGCATCCACTCCACACAGTCCCTATCTGCATTTAAACACCCTCCCCCCCACTACCACAGTTTGACCCTTGTGTACAACTCAACTCGAATTCCCAATCCCACAAGAATCGGAAGGGGAAAGAAAAACCAAAAAAACACAATGCCCAAAAAACCCCCACCACCAACCACCAAACCCAAAACCAAACAATCATCCCCCTCCAACCCCCCAAATACATTATCAACTACCCCCAAAAGCATCCCCTGGCCGCCTCTCCCCCCATCCCCCAAGAACCCCTACTACTACCCCAGCAAACCAACCCTCCACCTCCTCATCCCCAACCAAGCCTACATCATCCCGGATTTCTTCGCGGCCCCGCTCTGCAAGACCTACACCAACTTCCTCGCCTCCCTGCCGCTGGTGACCACGCCGAACAAGCCCAAGAAGGGGGACGCGGTGCGCGTCAACGACCGCTTTCAAGTCCAGGATGACGGGTTCGCCGCGCAGTTGTGGGAGTATACCAGTCTCCAGCGGTGTGTGACGGGAAGGACGAATCCGGTGGAGGAGAGGTTGTATTCGTATGATGATGATGAAGAGGAAGAGGTGACTCGTCAGATCGATAGAGAGGATGACGTTCCCAGCAAGAATGGGATGTGGGGTGGGGAGCCATTGGGGTTGAATGGGAATATTCGGATTTATCGGTATACTAAGGGCCAGTTCTTTGATAAGCATTGTAAGTTGGATCTGATTCTTTAACAGTTCTTGGAGGGGGGGCGGTGGGAATAGAGAAGGGGGTTGAGATAGCGCATCTTTAATTAACCTCGCCAAACTAGACGATGATTCCAACACCCTTACTTTCAACACGCCAGGGCAACCGGCCAGGCCGGCGCGCACAACATGGACCCTGCTCATCTACTTGACGGCCTGTGAGGGCGGAGAGACGATCTTCTACCCGGAGCCCACGCGGAAGGACCGCAACCCCCAGCCGGTCGCGGTGAAACCCGTGCCGGGCATGGCGCTGCTGCATCGACATGGTGAGCATTGTATGCTGCATGAGGGGGCCGAGGTCCGGAGCGGGGAGAAGTGGGTGTTGCGGAGTGACCTGGTTGTTGCGCGGTGAAATTACTTGTCTACACATCACCAACATCCCAGTCAAAAGCTTCGGGAAAGTACAGTACTCTACCGAAAGTGCTCTACAGGCTATACAGGCCTACCACGACTGACAAAAGAATATGTATCCACCATTGTCAAAGACATATTATGAACAAAGAAAACACCTGGACGAACACCGGACCACACCGGCGCGTCCACTATTAGACACATAAACAGGAGGTTGCATCTGTCTGAAAATCCCATAATGCCGTGGCAGAGAATAAGTAAAAAAACCAATGTTTCGCCAATGAACCGGAGGGCAGCTTTTTCTTCAACCCCATCTTGCATGTATCTCAGAACCCACATCTCTCCAGGCAGGTCCCAGGAAAAGCATCAAGTACATTGAACAGAAAGATAATAAAACATAACCCCACCCCATAGCACCTTCCCAGTTCGCGTTTCCTCGTCTAAAAAATGTTTGTATGCAAATCATGACTGGTTTGGCTTCGACTCATACTCGGCCCGTCTCATGATATCCTCCACGGGACCCAGTAACCGCTTGAAGCCATCGCGACCCAGCCGAGCAACCTTGACCTCCGAGCGGGCGACAATGCTCGCAGCCCGAGGCTTGTCGTCTAGCAGTGCCAATTCACCGAAGTAATCACCACGCTTGTAGGATTTGACGACGCCGTCCAAGTCCTTCTTGAACGCATCTGCTTCACCAGCCTCAAGCAGGTAGAAGGCATCGCCTGGATCACCCTCGCTGATAATGGTCGATCCAGCGGGGTATTTGCTGGCGTCCAGCGCATCGGCAATCTTGGACCGTTCGTAGGGCTTGAGGCTGGACAAGAGAGGCACTTCTTCCAAGAAAGCCTCGTACATACGACGACGCTGGAAAGCAGAATCCATCAGAATGCGGCGGAAGGTGATGCGGTCCAGGGCCCAGAGGGTGCTCTTCGGATCCACGGAGACGATGGTCGCGGCACGAGGAGCATTGTACATGAGAGCCAGCTCTCCGAACGAGCCTCCAGGGCCAATGGTGCTGACTTTGTTGCCCATACCCTCGGCGCCTGGCTGCACAGAGCCTGAAGGGTGGATCAGAACGTCAAAGTGGCCTTCTTCAACGATGTAGAAATAGTCTCCCGCATCACCCTGCGAGATAACCTTGATGTCTTTGGCTGGAATGGGCTTTTCCACCAGCGCATCGAGCACAGTCTTGAACTGATCGTCATCCAAGTGGGCAAAGAGGAAGTTGTTGCTGACGGCGGTCTTCAAGCGCGCGATTTGCTCATCTGATTTGGGGTGATGCGGCGGGGCCCAGCTGTCCGAGCCAGCTGAAGTGGGATTTAAAGACTCTGCTGACACCGATGTCCTCCGTCCCAAGGCGTAGTTGTTGGGGAGGCCAGGGTTGGGAACACCCGTCGGGCGGATGTCGCCTGGGGGGAACTCGTCGGCAGCCTCATCTTCCTCGCGCGACCCATCGTCGAATGGGCTCCGGGTGTTGAAACGAATGGCACCACCGTCACCGAAACCACCGCCTGTGAACAAGCTGTTGCCGGTCGAGGATGAGGCAGCAGCGGGAGCGTTGGCGGTGCGAAAAGTTGGATCGGTTGGTGACGTCACCTCGTACTCGTCCTCCTCCGAGATCTTGTGAAAAGTGGCGGGCTTGCTGTCGTCTTTCGTGCCCAAGCGAAGGGGCTGATTACCCCCAGGAAAAGTGCTCTCGGCCATTCTCTGGAGAAAAGGGCTGGAGAAGGTGAAGTTCCGGCCTGTATTGAGCGGGGAAATTGGACGCTCGGGCGACCACGATTGCAGCGGCCGCGATGGAGGGGAAGGACTCGAATGAAGTAGTTCGGGAGCTAGATTTGAGTCGACTGGTTGTAGAGAACAAGACGGATGTCGAGATTTGGAAGGAGAGGAAGGATACAAAAGAGGAGCGGTAGTCATGGGAAAGGTGTAGGAAGGAAGATGGGGGAAAAGAAGGAAAGCTAAGAGAAAAGAGGAGGGGAGAGGGGGGGGGGGGGAAGGGAAGTGGGAGGGGAACAGGGTAGCAGCCGGCTAGTAGCACACCAGCAGCAGCAGCAGCAGATGGAGGGGGAAAGCTGAGGAGGGGCGGGTAGGGAAACCGACCAGCCCGATCGCTGAATGAGAATCAAAAGTGACGGATTGTGGTTGAGGTGGGGAAGACTTCAGCGGCACCCCAAGGTCTTATTGGATATTCCTGCTTCGAAGCTCGGGAACCTTTCCAGATCGTTTGATCCTTTTGCGTTCGTTGGTTGGTTTGAAATTGCAGCTTGCTGTGGAGGCTGATGCAAACTGCTTAAAGTTGAGAGATTATCGAATTCCAAGGAGGATTAAGAGCTTTGGCTTGAGGGTTGGGGAGGAGTAGGTAAGGTATAATTTAAGATATCCAGAGACACAATCGAAACAGTCTAGGAGTAGAACTGTGACAGCAAAGGATGACAGTGAGACAGAGGAGAGAATTAAAAAATTAAGAAGTAGTACTGTAGTTGTAGTAAGTAGGAGTAGGAGTAGGAGGAAGTAAGAGGGAGAGTGAGTAGTGAAGTCACCAGCTGCAAGCCTTGGGAGGGGCACCACCGCTCAACTTAAATCAGGGTCGCGTGGGAACTTGCCTGCCGGAGATGAACTAATTCTCTAGGTAATCAAACTAACTAGTAGAAATTATTACCTGCTAGAATGATCACCTAATGAGAAAAAAAGGGGCAAATACTCTCAAGATGGTGTGTAGTGCGTTGTGGTGGTGGTGGTGGTGGTGGTGCGTGTGTGTGGTGGTGCTACCGTCTACGTGATCTAGAGGGGTCGTTGCAGAAAAAAAAAAAGGGATCACCCAGAGAATAAAGGAGGGAGGAAAAGACACGAAACCACGGGAAGCAGCAGCAGCTCGCTCCATAATCATCTTCAGATTACTCTTCGTACTCAGAGATTATCTTCGTTGTGGTTCCATCACCTGCTTTTCCTCTACCTCTTCCTCTCCCTCTGCATCGAACTTCCCAGCTATCTGTGTCTTCGTTTCTTTTCGAGGACCTTACCCACTGGGATGTCTATCAAACAGAGTGGAACTATCCGATGAACATATTGTCAGTGGACTCCTTGTCCAGTCGAGCTAATGGCTTCCATTCCCCTTCTAGAACAATTCGACTCCTTAATCAATCGGGTCTCGCGACTAGTAGCCCGTTGATTCCGTCAATAGCGGAGGTGGCCGGGTCAATAGTCTACTCGAACGACCACAAGAGTGGTTAGGAAGAGGAGGGTTGGGTGGGGAAGCCTTGCCTCTGACCTTCCTCTCCTGATTAAAATCTAAAATAAACCGAAACTCGCGACGACGAGAAAAAGGAGACGAAGGGGCACCGCAAAAGATGGGGAGGTCAATCCTTCCGCCGGGAACGGAAATGGCGTCGAAGGTTCGTTTCGGTGGCCAAGGGGCTTCCAGATTTCTTCCAGAAACATGGTAATTCATTGCGCCACCAGAGGGCGGGGACAGCTTTGGCACAAGCAGAAGTTGGTGGGATCCAATCTGGATGATATTGTGCAATAATCAACTTGTGATCAACCCCAACCCATCCCTTTTCCCCCCTCGATTCTCCTTAATCAGGCGAAGGACTCTTCCCAGGTCCCATTGCCTTTTCTTCTTTTTTATCATCCACTGTTTCCCCATCCACTGTTTCCCCACCGATATGTAGGATTTCAACGAGGTCAACATCTCCTCGACATGCTGCTGGTGGCAAACTTCTTGTCGAAAACGGTGCTGCTTCCCTTCGGAAGATCTGCTCGCTGAGGTCATAGCCTGCTAAAATTGATGCCTTTCATTCGATTAGTCTTTGTTGACGTTTGCTCGGGACGGGCCCCTTTTCTGTATTTTGGGTCAATGGATGTCAAGATGCCATCATGAGGGGATCTTTGAGATTTTGTCTTGCCAGTCTTTCCCTTCATCGCACAGCCATGAAGGGAACCATGGATGGTGGATTGATTCTGGCCGGGCCCTCCTTCTCGAGTCCCTCCACTCCCATCCCATTCCTGACTGAGTTAGACTAGGCGCCGTCACCGTTTATCTCATTCAGGATCGCCGTTTTCGAAGGAAACATTTTCGGTTTAGTGGGGGAGTCCGTGCTTCCCTTCCCTCCCGAGTCCCGAGTACCATTGACGGAATGCGATCATGATTCACTGCCTATTGTGCATGTATAAGATACCTTCTACACTGTGCGCAGGTTGCCTATTTCAAATGAATCGATTGCGCGTTAGCTTCTGGTTGCCCTGCAGAATCTGGTCATATCCGAGGAATTGGCTCTGGAATGAATGGTGGTGGGGCCAAGGAGTTTGAGACTTCGAAGACCTTGATTCTTTCTTCCGATAGGGATGCTCAGGGTGCTTTTATCCTTGGTTGTTGCTGTTGTTATAGTTTTCTCATGAAAGTTTTGATCCCATACAACAGGCGAAAGAATTCGGTTATCGGAATATTCATTATCGGCGGCGGCAGCGCCTTCCCATGAACAAAGGTTCCGATGGCTGATAAGACACGCCAGCTGTCAGCACGGGCACGCACAATTTAGCTGAGTTGTACAGGCGAGGAGATTTGTCCGAGTGTCAGCCAGCACGCATCTAGAACCTGGAGGCGGTGATGGAATACGCGCCAACCACTCTTTGACCCTGCGATAGGGACCCGCCAGGTCCCTTGATGTGCTGTTTCCCCCTGGGTAAGGTCACCAATGAAATATACCCCAGTGATTAGTTTAGTTGTCTGTGCTGGAGTTTAGGTGTTCAGTGTTCAGTAATGAGTATTCAGTGGTGAATTATTATTAAAGTGTGTGTGTGTGTGTGTGTGTGTGACTGCAGTTGATGCTGTCGTTGGGTTGTGGCCGCCACCCCGCTTGCTCCAAGCAATCAAGTCAAATCAATCCAATTCGAATTTCCCAGCCTCCTCAGCATCGTCATTTTCTCTCTTCTCTCCTTCTCTACCCTGTCTACGCCCCGTACCTACATAGCAGAACCCCTTCGTGGCTACTCAGGAATTTATCTTTGCTTTCTTTACTCGATTGTTTAATTCTCTGGTCTTTTATGCCGCTTGACCAATATTGACCTGTCTGAAATATTTACCCCCACTGAAACACTGCGACGACCTACTATTTTTTTCAGCATCCACTTGCTGGGCGCAATTTCCCCCCCCCCCCTCCCCCCCCTCAACCCTCATCTCCACTATAGAAGATGGGGACTTATACGTTTCGCTGGTAAGCTATTATTGAACTTCCCTTGCGATCAAGAAAATCTCCTTTCTCCAGTGCGAAGCCTGGACCTCCAATGAGCATCTCTTGTGAAGGGTCTATGACAGGTTCTGCCCGTGCTTCCTGCTGCTATAATCCCCGACACTTTCCGGACCCAGCGCCACTGATCTGTGTTCGCTGACCGTTGCGGCTCCTCGCATGGGGATCAACTAGGCCGTATAATGCAAACGAAGTGTATGTGACGGGGACATTCGATGACTGGGGCAAGACTGTCCGACTGGACCGCAATGGGGAGGTGTTCGAGAAAAAGGTTGAGCTCCCAGTCACAGAGAAGATCCAGTATAAGGTAAGAACTTTTTCTTCCGCTCATTCTAGCTTTACCCTACGAGCCCCTGCCCAACCTCTTTCCCCCATTACCCCCATTTTTTCTATTGTCCCGTTATCCATTACGGACTGTTCCTTCACCGGGCGGCGGAGGATTACGTGCTGGGCTGATCGTCCTTATCGAGGGACGGGTGATGACGCTCGGTGGGTTGTTGCGCAGAGTCGCGCTGACGTCATGGCACAACCGTCGAGCCCGCCCCGTCACTGGTTTTCAAACTATAAGACTCGCACAATCGTTGGTTTGCGCCATCAGAAGATCCACTAACTGACTTTGTTTCTTTTTCCTCGTGATTAAAGTTCGTCGTTGACGGTATCTGGACCACTGATAATCGAGTCCCCGAAGAAGACGACGGCGACAATAACATTAACAACGTGCTCTATCCCGATCAAATTCAACAAACACCACTACAGAACGGCATGGCCGGTGTAACCCCCTATTCAACCACCGCTGCTTTGGCGGCTGGGGTGCCCAAGGAGTCCAGCAGCAAGACAAATGGCTATCACCCCACCATCTCGTCAGCAGCACCAGGCTCGACAACTGCCAAACTCGGCCAGGAAGTCCCACTGGAACAACGGGCAACTGTGCCAGGATCCTTCCCCATCACTCCCGGAAGCGAGGCTGAACAGTTCTCCGTGAACCCCATCCCTGCATCCAGTGGCATTGGTAACCCGATCAAATTGGCTCCAGGTGAGAAGGTGCCTGACCCCAGCACTTTCAACCCCAACACGGTTCAGTCCACCGCACGTCTCGACAAGGGTGCGTATGAACAAGGCGCCAGTCTTTCTCGGACCGAAGAATCGTTGCAAGATGGCGGTGCTTTCTCCCTTCCACCTGTAACGAAGAACACCATCCCTGAGTCAAGCTTGCCTATGGGCAGTGATGGCACCCACGATGTCCATGACCCTGGCTATACGATCCAGTCGGCTGCGCCTACGTCGACAACGGCGGCACTTGCTGCTGCAGTGCCCCTGGAGTCTCAGAAGCACAAGCAGGCGACCGGCGGTTTCCCCTCTGAGGAGCTTCCAGGCGTGGTCAAGGAGTCCCTCGAGAAGGCCCACCAACATCCTGAATGGGCTGCCAACGAAGAGGTCGTCGAGGAGAAGAAGGAAGTGGAAGAAGAGCTTCAGCAGAAAATCAGCGTGAACAATTCTGTTGGCGCCCCAGCGCCTGCTCTGAGTGCCGCTACTGCGGAGACTGCTCCCCGTGCGACTGGTGCCGAGCCTACAAGTCAGCTATCCTTGAAGGCAAAAGAACCAGTCGATGGACCAGTGGTGACCACAGGTGTTGATTCTGCGAAGGCTCCAAAGGAATCTGGACCTGGCCCTATCCACGGTGCTTCTTCTTCTGTCCCTACTGCTGGTGCTGTAGCCACCTCCAACCAACTATCTCCCAAGATTTATGACCCAAGTGAGCCAATTGTTACCACGGGCGTCGATTCTGCGAAGACCCCGAAGCAGTCCGGCCCCGGCTCAGTCGAGGACTCTTCTGCCGCTGCCCCTACTACAGGTGTGACTGGCTCCAGTGCCACCAAGACCGCCGACTCAGCTGTCGATGTCGGATCGAACTCTGCCGCTGGCGATGCCTCCGCCTCTGGCCCTACCGCGGGCGTTACGGGCTCCAGCGCGACTAAGACTGCCGACGACCTGGAGACACGCAAGTCCTCAGAGCCTAAGCAGCTCGCTGAACCCAGCAAGTCCAACAAGGCCGACGTGACGTCGGCTCCAACTGCTGGTGCTACCGGCGCTAGCGCTACCAAGACGTCCGGCTCAACTCCGGCTACCGCTAACACCAACAACGATGCATCTACGCCCGCTCAGAAGACTGATGCTCCTACCAGCACCAACAACACCACTACTCCCGTCAACAAACCCACCAACAGCCACGCCGCAGGTGGCGCAGCAAACATTTCCAAGGAAGAGCCGAAGAAAAAGAAGAAGGGATTCTTCTCCCGCCTCAAGGAGAAGTTGAAGCATTGACTACATTAATTAATGACAGCGCTGAATTGACCGATGGATGGGTTGGTTCTTTAACTAATGGTGTATAATGGGTGGAAGATTTCTAATTTCGTTCTTTATGCTTCTGTGATTATCGTCTGGATACCTTTTGTGTTGTGTGCTTTTCCTTCCCATTCGTTTACTGCCTCAGGTACTTTAGGTAGGCTTATGGTTACGTATCACGAATCAATTCTCTGATTATATGCTGAACATTAATGCGGTAATGAACATCCCTCACTCAGTATAGTTTAGGATAGAGTACATCGTAGATATGCTGTTTAAGTAAATATATTATTTATTATGATTAACGTTGCCCACCCACTTCTATCATGAAAACCCCTCCAACCAACCCCAGTACTGAGTAAAGCATGATACTTATATCGGTATCGCATTACTGACAATCCCATTCACCTTGACCGGATATCCCAGCACACTGAATTGAACCGGTTAGCCCATCACCCTCCCTCAATGAACTCATGGCAATAGGTTAGGTACATACTCCTTGCCCGTCTTCGTCAAGCAACACCCGCAGAAGATCGATGCCGGGTAGCAGATCACCTGCATTGGAATTTAGTTCGAATCCTCGATGCTTACTTACTTACCCTCCCCCATCGACTCTCTGTGCAGACACAAGTAGTAACAAAACGATGATAAGAAAAGGGAAGAACATACAGCAGCGACAACCGTACAGATAAATCCTACGCACAAGCACAAACCAGGTCAGCGCGCTGAGAGCCATACATCCACATATGGGGACGGGAAATATACCTAGGGTTGGCCCGACGACTTTACAGCGGCAGGGGTTCTGGTCGGTGCCGCATTGGAAGCAGATGGGGAGGATGGGGAAAAATGGGACGTCGCACATTTTCGTTGTCTGGATGGAAGGAATGAGGGGTGGTGGGAGAGATGGGGACGAGGAAAAGAGGTGGATTGGGGATGAGGGGAGTGACTGAGGTTGAGCCGGAAGGGGAAGGGGATGGGGGAGATATGAGATACGCTTAGTCGTGGTATATTTCTCTCGCTATCTATCTGTGTACATTACGGTACTGTACCTGATTGATGGCTGGTATCACTTGTGCAGGTTCTAGTTTAGCCTTGCTTGTGGTGATGTGTTGCTGGTGGTGGTGGTGGTGGTGGTGATGGTGAGGTAATGCGGAAAGCATGATTCATTATGACGACAGCTTGGGGGTTATTGCATTTGAATCATGGAAATTGAGGTAGCATTGGGTGTATTACCGATTGATTTGGTACTGATTGCTCTGTATGTGACGGTCAATCTGGACTTGGGTGGTTTTCAACTGATTGCGTTGGGTTGGTGTTGAAAATCCAAATGTTTCGTATTTGTGGTGCTTAGGTGGTAGTGGTCGTGGTGGTGGTGGTTGTTGCCCTCCGCTTGTCAAGGATGTTATTTCCTGGGGATGGTACCTTGCATGCCCATCCTTCGGAACAATCCGATTGATAACTTAGTCGCAAGTGCGTCTATTTATTTCCTGGGCCAATTGTCGTTTTTATAAATCTGGAGACCTTGTACATGAATGTTTGCATACAACGTATAGTATAGACACGAGTTGAGACTCCATCCTGGACCGTCAACACTATATATCGTAGTGGTTCTACTCCGTACATGCAGAGGACCCGCGTTCGCCTGCAAACCATGTCCACCACTCTTTACACAAGCTGTGGAGGACGTAGCAGCTAGAGAGGAAGTGATGATTAGCATCTGAGCTAGGAATTCTGGTCTTGCGGAGGTTACTGGTGACTCTTTCTCTTGCTCGAGTCATATGCGACATAGTGTAGTATACCTCACGCAGAGTTCCTGGCGATCCTATCGACCGTATGCTTCGCCAAACCCGACACGGTTGCTTCTGTGGGCCATCGGTAGGGATATATATCGTATTTAGATATCCGACATTTTTGACGTGAATCTCATCAGGGGTCAATATAGCATGAAGCTCAGTGCTAGGCCTGATGTCGTCCTAATCCTGATGCGGGGTTTTGCATATTTGAATCGATGCTAGCTTATGTAGCAGCCGATAGGCGAGACCAGGTAGGTATAGATGCACCTCATAACACATAGCTGTGTCATCCAGACTTGCCATCTCGTGCTTTTCTAGACTGTATCTCGTCAGCATACGGGATAACAGGCACCATCAAGCTTGTGCAGCAGTCTATGCATAGATTCCAGTCAATGCTGAACAGGACCGACCTCCATACCAAAGCAGGCAACAAACAATCACGGATCCAGTGCCCAAGTCAGCGCCCCTCAACCCCCTCCCGAGTCATGACTTCCATGTCTACTTGGCCCCCCTCCCTCCTCCCTCAATCAACAAAACGCACTGTAGTAAGCAAGCAACGAACCAACCCGGACTCACCCCGCCTCTTTCCCAATTATTACTTCCATAACCGAAAACCGTGCAACATCCAATATACCAAAAATAAACCGCACCACCAGTGTACTGTACATATTCCCGAATCGACTGCGCCTTGTACAGGAAAGAAAAGAAACGAAAAATGGAGCCAAAAATCCAGGCACCAGAATTTCCCCAGCGCTTGGCGGGACGCTTGGCAGCCGACCGGTGGTTGGCCCTACAAGGCAGGGCGCATATTATTTGGGTCAGAATTGGAGGCAGTACCTTAACTGCACCTGCTTTTCCCCATGCAATTTTTCAGATGTATATAAAGGCGATTACCTGGGGGGGGGGGTTCCATATTTCTTCCCATCGTACAGAGTTTTTCTTCCCCCATATTCTCACACTCCATCGAGACTTCCTGGTCAAACCTTGATATCGAACGATCCTGCCCACTCGAGTCCACGGCTAGAACTACCGAAACGAACCGGTGATCGGCCTAGCACTTACTCAGTACAAGAATAAAGAGAAAGTGATTGGGGATTATTACATCACCCATCACCCATCACCCATCAACCACTCATCCAACCCCGATCGCAAAAACCAGCCCTACGCATTTCTCTCCTCTCACCAACCGTCGACATATTATACTATATCACTTCGTTACTGTATAACAACCAGTACAGTACATCAACCATTCATCTTCGATCGGCGGTCATACATCACATCTCTCTCCTCTCCCATCACGTAAAGATCCCCCTCATCCAAGCGACTGGACCCGTCACATCACACCGCAGCCCGCCACACCACCGACCCCCAAAATGACCACCCGCCTCACCCCCCTCTTCATCCTCCTCGGCGTCCTCCTCGTCCTCGCCGGCATCGGGTATGTCGCCTACTCCATCGTCCAGGACGTCTCGCGCCACACGCGCTCCAAGATGGAAGGCAAGAACGTCCTGTTCACCCGCGAAGGGATGAAGGTGGGCGTGCGCGAGGTCCAGGAGGAGGAGTATGTGGATCGGAGTCAGAGGTTTGCCTTTTCCCTGCCCCTTTCCCTGTCGACTTGAACAGCTTTCTCTTTCCATGTTCATCGGACTGAATCCGATCGCTAACGTTCTGTTTTTGTGGCGGCCAGCATCCTCGTCAACATGTGGAATCACACTTCGTTCCCCGCGTACAAGAGTCGATTCTGGGATATGAACAAGCCCACGAATTGGGGGCAGGCGAGTCAGAGTGCTGGAAGTAGTAAGCGGAAGTGACTGGTCGCGATGCGGATTAAGGATTGGAGGACAGAGGAGAAGAAGAGGTGTCGTGCTTTTCGAGCGACAAAAGCATCGCGGGTAAACTGTACTCGGGAATGGGTATGCTTTGCTTAACCTTGCCTTGTATCAAGGAAGGTGGATGATGTATGCATTATGCTGACCCGCGCTGCCTCCTTTCCCTCTAATAAAGGAGGGCGCGAGGGCGTTAACGAGATATGATCGTCATGAGAAAGTGAATCAAAATTACATGAACATGTTTGGAAATCAGCTCTAAACCTCATAACCCGCCGTGTAGTCTTTTTGGTCATCGCTCCGCTGCTTGTATTTACAGATTCTCATAATAGTCGTAGTCCTGGTTCAACTTGTAGAACGGGTCCGGCTTGGGCTCATTGCTGCCCCCGTACCAGGTCGGCGTCGTCAGCTTCTCCGGGGTGTCCTCCCGCTTGGTGTTGGTGAAGAGGTACTCGAAGGTCTTGGCCCATTGCACCCGGTTGTTGAGCCCGTCCAGGTTCCACAGCTCCTGCAGGAAGTGCAGGATCGAGGTGTGGGTGTACGCCGAGTTGTTGGCGTAGCTCGTCCCTTGGTCGTGGATCAGGTGGTTGGCGGGCACCCAGGGGGAGATCAGGAACGCGGGGACACTATCATTGTGCCTCCGAGTTAGCCATCGTACAGTGGTATGGTCTGAGTGAATAGAAGGTGGGCTTACCGAACACCCAATCGAGTGTAGTCGTAGGTCACGTTGTGGCCGTCCGACACACCGGAGAAAGTAATGCCATCCTCAGGCTGGGGAATATTGACAGGGGTGGGGACGTGGTCGGCGAAACCACCGTGTTCGTCGAAGTTGAGGACGATCAGACTAATTGCATTGTCACTGTCAGTGCTAGGACGGATGGGGCGAGGGGCTATGAGAGACAATCGGAGTCCTTACACATTGTCCCAGTACTTGGACCTGCGCACCGCATCGTACAGATGCTTGATCAGCTGCTCGCCCGAGGCCATATTGCTGGTCGGGTGCATGGAATCGATGGTGCAGCACTCGGGGTTGTAGTAGGAGAACTGCGGGAGAGTGCCCTCCTCGAGGTCGCGGTAGAACTGGTCGGAGTGAACCAGGCGGTCCATGGCATTGTCTTGCACCCACTAGAGAACGGTGAGTACGCGAACTTGGAGTGACTGGGGGCAAACAGTATTACTTTGTACATGAAAGCATCGACAATGTCGGTCTCATAGTACTGAAAAATATAGTAGGTTAGTCAATGTCCATGTACACATCGGACGGTTATAGCTCACGTTCTTCCATGTGATGTTCTTCTGACTGAGCGACTCGAAGATCGAGGTGGCACACGTGGTACCCGTGTAGTTGGCATACCATCCAGCAGATTGGTAGGTGTTATCCACCATACCACAGGTAGAACCCGAAGTAGCAAACTGACGGTTGGGGTTGGTAGGGCCGGGGTGCTCCGCGTGCTGTTGCCCGTTTAATACATCTAGACCGATAAGACGCCTCACAGAAGACTCACATAGCTATCCCAGAAGGCGAAGTTCTGGGCAACCTCCGCCAGAGTCGCCGTTTTCTTCTGGTCGTACGCCTTGATGACGAAGCTGGATTCACCCGGCGTAGCACTGTATTTCTCCGACTGACGCTCAATGAATCCACCCATGTTGGGAACATCATCCTTGGTGACGTTCCACTTGCGGAAGATCTCGTAGGTGACACCCGCGAAATTGTGGTCCGGGTCAGTGAGGGGCACCTCGGTCTCAAACGGCGCCGCGCAGACATTCAGAGGTTCACCCCAGACTGTCCAGTTGGGGTTCGTGTACTCGTTGCAGTAGTCGATGTTGCGCAGGTTGTCAATGTCCGGGTGGAAGTCCCAGTAGCCCGCGATGTTGTCGAACGAGTGGTTCTCCAACATTAGATAGATAACATGTTTGATCTGTCCCCAAGTCAATTAAATGGTTGCAGGAGACACAGGCAAACCGGGAGCGAAGGTCAAAACCTACATTGGAGCGAACCTGATCCCATTGTGCACTGTTCCGCCTGTGAGGAACTGCAGTGGCCAGAGTAGCCAAAGCTGAGATCGTAGCCACGCTCAGCTTCATCTTTGTTTGATTTCAGTGTCTGCGGCTGTTCTTCACCCGGCGTCGTTCTTGCTCTTCGGATTCCAGTTCCTATTCTTTTCCTGCGAGGGGGAGCAGCGAGGTGCGATATTTATCTTCTCTCTCGCCCCTCTTCTCCCCTCACCACCCCCTAACTTCTCACGAGGCAGAAAGCAGCAGCGCATGCCGGCTGCTTCGGCACACACCGACATCCTGCGGAGATAGGCAGGTCCACACGCGACATGATTCGAGTCAGTCGTCCCGGTTTTGCCCTGGAGCAGGATTTCTGTCTTCTCTCTCTTTTCAGTTACGATGGACGGTGAGAATGACCATGGCCAATGGCACGGGACAACAGAATGCACGCTGTGGAGTTGATTGCTAGCTCGCGTGAGACAGTCCACATTCGCAGCTAGAATGAGGAGATAGATAGGTATGGTCCGGATGCGCTCCGCTGCAGTTGGAGAATGAGGGGGATGGCTGTGAGAGTCGATGCAGTTGGAGGTCGCGATTGCGAGATGTGCATCAGCTGCTCGATTGATTGGTCTCGATCACGGGAGGAGAAGACGGGGAGGACGACTCTAGCCCGGTTCAAGGAGACGGCTAGAGAGAACGCTGCCCCGCTTGCAAGGAACGGACGGGTTGAAGAGGATCGAGAATGTGCGTGCTTAGTGATAGTAGTACAGAAATTGGTCCTCTGCAGCGCGCATCGAGGGCAGCGTGATTGCAGCGTGCTTGTTTATTGCATTAGAACTGCATGCGACTTGACTGGAAGGACGGATGTGGTCTAGAAGAGTGCAGTGGAAGAAGTGGGTAGCGAATACTTAGTGGATCCACTTTCGACCGTCGATTAGGAAATGGTCGAGTGTGATAGGCCGGCATGGTCCAAGCTTCAGGCACTCCGCAGCCCGGTGGGTCTCAGCCTGCATTGTCCCGGGGGTCGAGGCCAATCAGAGCTGCACGTGCCATCCCCGCGACTGCAGATGACCGCCAGACTGTGAGGCACGTTGTCCCTCACTCTCCTTCAATAGGCCTTCTCATGCGGGCACATGGCCGGAGATAACCAGGTACCTTGCCTACTACTGGTATTAGCTGAATGTGAGTGGAAAATGAGCATGAAAATGGGCACGAGGGGTATTCTTCCTTCAGCTTGTTGACCATGCTCCTCTCCCCTCCGCTTGCACTGACGCCTGTCGCTCAAACCATATCTATGACCGACGGGCCCCGGCTGGACGTCTAATCTCGCTAGAGCTCATTCTAATCCAAAGGATATTGCATTGAACTGCCTTGATTCACTCCCTATCTCTCACTTTTGGAGCAGGTCCACAAAAGTTTCCTTTTCTTCGTCTCTTGCCCACCTTCCAAGTTCAGCAAAGACCCGTCGTGCGACTATCCTCTCTCTGTGGATATATTAATACCGACCTCTGTCACACCGGCTACAATTGATCATACCAAATCTCCGGCATTAATTCAATTCGAAGCGAACCTCCTCTTCTCCTCAAACACACGCACACAGCAAAGATGTCTATCTCCTCCATCAAAGGCTTGCTTTCCAGCTACTCTCCCGTCTCTGAATTCTCCCCCGAGCATGACCTGGAAAAGGAATACCCTCTATCCCTGCGACACGAGAGCGATAGCGAGTTAACAGCCGGCTCAAGCAGCTCAGTATGTCGGGAAGGAGCGGAGAAGAAAGAGTCCAAACTCATCGACGGACGTATCGTCTCCGACGCCATTATCGGTCTCTCCGACGGCATGACGGTGCCATTCGCCCTCACCGCCGGTTTATCAGCGCTGGGTGACACTAAGGTGGTCGTTTTCGGAGGCATGGCCGAGCTCATTGCAGGCGCTATTTCCATGGGGCTGGGCGGTTACTTGGGTGCAAAGAGTGAGGAGTAAGTGATGTACCCACTTTTCTTTTTGGTGATTTACTTCCCGTCAAAGTTGCGAGGGGGCGAAAGGGGCGGGGAGGAGGCCATTGAAGCGGGGTTCGATGTGTGTCGAAAAGATAAGACCACCTCAAAAAAAAAAAAAGCATCAAGCTAACATTTGGGTCTTTCCCCATTTTCTTCTTTGACAGGGAGTCTTATCGCGCAACATTGAAAGAGACCAAACAAGAAATTCGGAACGACCCCGCCTCAGTGACTGACACCATTGCTGATGTCTTTGCGCCTTATGATCTCCCGTCCGAATTGGTGGTGGAGCTCACGCGACACCTCTCCACCTCCCCCATGCTCCCTTCCTTTCTCATGAATTTCCATCATACCGTCCAGGAGCCGTCGGGGTCGCGGGCCTGGGTGTGTGCCCTGACCATTGCCTTGGGGTACTTCATCGGCGGGTTTGTGCCGCTCCTCCCGTACTTCTTTGTCGGGCCCCATGGCGCCTTCTATGCCTTGCAGTGGTCGATCGCCACGATGGTGGTCGCATTGTTCCTCTTCGGATATGGCAAGACGTGCTTTGTGAGTGGGTGGAAGGGATCCAGGAACATCCGGCGAGGACTTATTGGAGGCTTGCAGATGGTTCTGGTCGGAGGAGTTGCGGCTGGGTCAGCGATGGGACTGGTGAAGGGATTTCAGATGCTGGCGGATGCTCATCAGGGACATGATCACCAATGAATCCTTTCTCTTTCTTTTGGCGTTATGCTTCTGTCTTTTAAGTCATTTGGCGTTCAAGCGGGCTACAAAATGGGCGGATTTCAACATGCATTGGATGATACCGGGTTATGGCTGACTGACTGTAGATTCCATAGATGGGTTATGGCATTGGTCAACATGGATATTGATAGTAGAATGACTACACTGAGTACATAGTTCCTGTGGTTAGATTGAGCAAAAAAGGAGTTTGACTATTCTGGTCCAAAATCGCATGCTCCAGTCCATTGTAAGCCCGCACCAGCACAGCTTGCAAGGTACCGAGTAACATGAAAAGAAAGGCAATGTATCCCACCCGAAAGCAATAACTCTCTGGTCAAATTCAACTCCCAACCTGTTCCACATTACTTCCATGATACAGTCCTCGCTCATGGAATACCCAATAACTACGTAGCTTATTATACGCACCGCATAACTCCGACAGCCACCCACCCACCTTCAACTCCCAAACCATGCACAGCCCAACGACAGCCCACAGAAGACCGTCAGGCTACACCTACACCGAGCGTGACAGACATTCTTCAACGCTTGGCCTCGGCTGTGCCATCAGAGTGTAGTGACCACCAATCGGGTCCCAAGCCCGTGTAAAACTATGTACTGTACATTCCAGCCCTGTCTCACGAACCGAGTGTGGTGTGCACTGCCACAAGCTGGCGCCTCAAAAATGAGCCTCACGCCCCAGCCAACCCTCCAGCCTTGCCAGGGATTCCGGGCCGGCGATCAGTCCTGAAGAATGTGGGGTAGGAGTAGGAGGTATTCGGCGGAGTTGGATGGAGTCCCACGTATGTTTTACTTGTGGGTTGGTATGTGGCTACTGGGTGTGTTGGGTGGGTGTTGATCTATGATCGTCTCTTGTGGGTTGGTTAATTGCGGGGGGCAATACTGCTGCTGCTGGAATAGACTTTGTTTTCTGCGTTGAATGGCAATCAAAAGAGGGAGGGGAAGGGAAGGGGGATGCGAAACGGTCTGTGTGGATGGAATGATCATAGACACCAAGAAATTAAACCTTCACAATGCATAAAGACAGACTCAGTGAAGCTCATGCAGTGTACGAACGCACAATGCAGATCAATGTCTTGAATTCAATTTGACTTCTGCATTGTGTACTCTGCACAAGGAGGCGATCTTCGAGAGCGACTGAGAGAAAGTTAAATGAGGGTTATGCAACATGCTCCCCTCTCCACCCCTTCGGCCGGCAAAGCTGGGCCGAGGAAGAGCGAGCGATGATTCAATAAACATTCAGAGAAAGTGTTACTGCAGGGCAATGCGGCATGACCTCATTGTTCTGATGGGTCTCTTAAGCAGTTTCTTTTGCCCGACGGGCACGAGGGCATCAGGTGATCTCGAGCTGCAGCTTTTTCTTGTTCTTACTAAAAGTGGATGTGACTGCTTCGGTAGCAAGCGGTGAGGTCAATAGTATGAGCAGTAAAACGAAACCAACAGATTTGACATCCACGATGCTGTCACTTGGAGATCATGCTGCGAAAGGATCTACCATTGATGTCAATCATGAACCAAGAGTCGAGATTCTAGAAGGAAGCAAGAGAGGCGCAACGATCCGAATCTGGGATCGATCCATGTTGTCACGGGTTTGTGGCTCTCCCGCTCTTGAGTGGGTTTTGTGCCCCGTCACTACCCTTTCGGTTTTCTATGATGTCTGATGATGTCGATGACCCTCGCTGTATGTCCTTCCTTCCCTCTCATTCTCTCTCTCTTCCCCGTATTCTGCTTCTTGGTTCCGCCCCAGAAGCAACCGTCCATGATGCAACGAGTTCAAAGTCTGGTACAGTAACAGAGTAACCTTTGGTTCGTTACGAGAAAAAGGTATCGTATGTCTTGACGTTCTACTTGCAAAAGGGATGCTATACATGTAGTAATGCCGATCGGCTTTCCAAGCCACAACGTTGTACTGCTTGGCCCAAGCTCTCTGGTGACCTTCACACAGCCCGGTGCCCACCATCCCCATCGAATCCACTCTTCATGCCAACAGGCAACAATAGTCAAGGGCTCGGCATCGTTAACTACGACTATTAGATTTGCTAGGACCACACGTTACCCCCCCTTCTTCTGTGGTGCATACAGATGAAAAGGGGGGGGGGAAGAAAGCGTGAGCAAACGAATACGAGGGACAACCCCAAGAATCATCTCCTGTAGAACCACGTTTGATGATCCGACACATTGTCAATCTCCCATAGGTAAGGCGCAGCAGAAAGGAGCAGCAACATCCAGCTCCGATAATTTTGAGATGAACATACCGTTCGGAAATTTGCGCCAGTATAAGCCCAGCTCATCTACTTAGTACAGGGTTGTGTAATGTATGTACTGTACAGTATCCCCCATACTACGGAGATTCGAGGCTGATGGGATGCTCAAGCAGTGCTGCTGCCTGGTTGAGGCTGGGGTTGGGAGAAATGATAGTCAGTTTAGACTGCAGGATTTCCCTTCTTCACCCTTTAATTTCAAAGCAGGTAACAAACCACGCGTAACAGTCGTCAGCCACTTGGTTCGACTCAGTAAGCAACACCTAGTAGACTGATAGGATAGGGAATCCTGCATCTGGCTCGGTAGACCCAGACAGCATTGCCTGTTGGGCCTGAGCAGTTTGCCCGTTCCAGGTGACTGGTACTGTACTGCCCCCGGTCGGAATCGCGAGAATCAGCCGAAATGTACTGGGCCATTAAGTAAGCGGATTGGGAAATCGCCCGCATGAGGCAGAGAGAGCCTGGAGAGCTGTTGGAGAGAGTTGCAGTCCGATCGTGCGCCCCAGTCATACCGTTGTGATGAGGAGCAGCACCACAGCAGTAGCCACAGCAGCTGTTGCACTAAAGTCAGGGCAGGCACAACTCATTATGATTAATCTGGGGGCGGAAGTCATGATGACGCTGCCTGCCCATATACACACAGCCGAACTAAGTCAGGGTCGATGCAGCGTAGACCCTCCAAATCTGCTGATCCAGCTGCTGGGAGCTTGAACAACTGAGAAAGCCATCACAAACACCAAATTTTCAAATCAGGCGCGTGCTTGGGTGCATTAATGCTCTCGGATGCAAGAATGATCACGGCAAGCCGCGCGACCGGACGAGGTGATCATTCGATGGACCTGGGAAGGGAACAGGAATTGGTATGTATCGTATACACGCTGTACCGTACCAGACCGTAATGGACGGGGCTCAGAAGAGCAACTTCCGTTTCGCTCTCCTCTCTCTTGCTTTCGTGGTCGAACTAGAGACAAAGTGTCTAATAATTCGTGACTAGACTGTTGCTTAAACACTCTAGACCTGCATATCATTTCTACAGCCCTCGACCCTTTTGTTGTCATGTTGCCTAATTCTAAGCTATAGATCGAAATCAGGGGAAGGAGAAAAGGCTGTTTGTTGCTCAGGGGCGAATTGCGAATTGTGATATTCAGGAGGATCTGGGGGTTTTTGTGCAATCAATCAATCAATCGATCCTCCTTGTTTGTCCTTTCCCCAGCTTTGGGGGAATGCTCAATGCGTCAAGGGAAAACGCAACAACAGCTGTCATCCAGGTTTGATGCACCTGGCGCGTGGACAAATCGACAGACGATTGTTTCGAGTTGAATGGGCGGAAGTGGCTGGGGAAGAGACAAGAGGTGCGGTTTTCTGCTGCTTCTCTCTCGTACTGACTGACTCCTCCATGGGTAGCTGTCATCTCGCCGTCTCGTTGGCTGATCGTCGTAAGAATCATCCTATCACATACATGTACCTATCAATCTGGACTCTGCGGCGGCTATTGTCCGAGCCCTCGTTAACTTACTGCAAGAGGTAAGCAATACGACCGATTCTCTATCCATCACATTGTGCCCTGGGCCTGTTGCGGGAACACCGGCGGTTTGGTCCCCGATCGTTATCCATCAGATCAACCAGCCGGTTATCCGCCTCCTAAGATCGTGCTTGTCGTTATGTAGGGTCCATCCACATAGACATATATCAACAACCGAGGCCTTGCGGTGAGAGAAACTTTTAGCAATGTCTTTTTGGGTCCGGATGCCGGATTGCCGGGGCCCGATCCATCTGGTGCCTGATTATTATACACATGTGGATGGGGATGGGGGTGGGTGGGATAATCCTCGGGCCTCAACAAACATACGAGGAAATAATCAATAAATCAATAATGATCACTAATTATGCGCCAAGCGGAACAATTGTGACCAACCAGACTGACTGTAGGCGGCATCGGTGAATTTCTTTGACCGATTTGTGAGACCGTTGTGGATTAAGCGAAATTGGAGATGGGAGATCCACTGCTTCCTGTTGGTCGGCCATTGAATCTATGGGGACCACTGGGTTGGGCGCATCGCGGAGGAGGTGAGAATGGCTGGGTTGTTTTTCATGAAGCAAAGCAAAATGCTTCTTTACTTTTTCTCTGAGACCTACAGATCAGAGTCAGACCGTCATCGTCAGTAGAAGGGGACCAGAGTCAGAGTTATAGTAGTGTCTAACTGTCGCTGCGCACAGCTCTCCTCCTGCACCGCGTCAACTTATTCTCCGCGTGCTCAGTCTATATAGAACTGAATAGTTGTGAAGATGACAAGCGACTATTCAGGAACCGGAATCACATCGCTTGGCCGAGGCGTGCAACAAAGCTGGTGCTGTGGTGGTGTAGACTATTGTAGCCTCAAGCCCGCCCCGATCCGTAGTTCGGTATTTGCGGTCTCCGTCGTCCGAGCAGAAATTTTCTGCTTTGATTTTTTTTTTTTTTCTCTCTCTTTCCTTTTTGGAGTAAGCAGCGACCCTGGTTTCTCAGGCACTGTCGAGGCTGACCACCGAAACTAAACACTAAAGGGGTATGGGCGGTAATTAAACGCCTTGAATGAGTTAGGACATGGCCAGTGGTGACGACATGATACGGGGCCAAACTGGTAATACGAGTACGACATTACTGCGTTACGCCGTACCCGTCGTGGTCCGTCGCCCCGTCCGGTCCCAGTCTCACTTCACTCG